TTTTTCAAATTGGCTGTCTGATATAATAATAGTTACGTGTATGTGACATGGGTGCATAATACAAAATTGCCTTCATTCGCATGAAGTTCAACATGGCAGAAAAAGATCGAGAAGCGCGGTAACCACATTACTAATCTCGCCATATTTCGCAATCCGTAGCACTGCATAAAATATGAGTTACACGATATTAACGTTGAGATGATTAGGGTGATGATGGTCATAATTTCATTCAATGAACTTCATAAATGTAATGAAAATATACACTGTCGTTTTCTCATGAGTACCGACCATTCCGCCATTACCGATAGTCGATAAAAATATACAAAACGTGTAAATAAACTTGTTCATAAAGGAGTGAACAGAATTGTATTTACGTGAATAAGTATACAGTTGGGAAAAATATGTCTTTCTGACCACTCAGGTCATATTTTTTCTTATGAACAAGGATTTTGTCTGAAAATATTTACGTGTTTGTGACATGGGTGCATAATCAAAATTCGCCGTCATTCGCTTGGTGTTCAAACATGGCAGAAAAAGGCCGAGAAGAGCGGTAGCCACTTTACTAATCTCGCCATATGTCGCAATCCGTAGCATTGTATAAAGTATGAGTTACACGATGTTAAAGCTAAGATGATTGGGGTGATGGTGGTTATAGTTTTGACTTTGCGCACTCAGTGTTAAATATAAAAAATCACAGTTTAAAAGGGCATTTTCTCGGGACCATATATGGTCCCGTGGCACCAAGAGGGTTTAAACAGTTTCGTCTTCATTATGACATATCCTGTACATTAATCCATAGTCAAAATGATGTCGTCTCTCCTGGACATTAATCCCTAGTTTCCTCATTATAATGACTTATCATGCATATTTACACAGTGATACAGACCTGGTCTAGATCCCGTGCCCCGTGCACATCTGTCCAATATATATCCTTTGAAATGTATACACTCACGAAAACGACAACAGCAAGAAGAGCAATTTGACGCCCATAGCGCCGCCTTCTGCATAGCCTACAAGCCATGTTGTGAGGAAGAACAGACTTCCTTGGTGTTATAAAGCCAACAGTGGCTTAACTTGTAAGCGCAACAGAAACGTGCTGCGTGTATATCCTTAAGCACGATTCATGCTGGGTAGTGCAAACCCCGAGGGAAGCAAGGCAGTGAAATGTAAGGCCGATGGTGAAATCGGAGGTCTGACTATCAGGCCGATTTTCTCAAGTTTTACGATCCGAGACATAACCGAGGCAGAATATGCGTTCTCCAACGCATGGCGAAGGAATATGTACAAAATCGAGCAAATACAAATACGCTCATCAATTTCGCACATGCAGCACAAAAAGTTCATGTTGCACATTGTGGTAGAAGTTTGTAAACACCATTGGGATCGGTGGCTATTTTAAAGGATGTGAGGCACGGTTCATATAGTGTGTGAATACCCAGGTGGGGGGTCCAATGTGTTATGACGTCACCTGTCTACGGAAAAAGTTGAAATTATGACAGCACCTGTCTACAGAAACAGTGATGGCAGCATCTGTCTACGACAGCAGTTATTGACATCACGTATCTCAGGTAACAGTTATTGACATCACGTATCTATGGTAACAGTTTATGACATCACGTATCTATGGTAACAGTTATTGACATCACGTGTCTATGGTAACAGTTATTGACATCACGTTTCTATAGTAACAGTTATTGACATCACGTATCTCAGGTAACAGTTATTGACATCACGTATCTCAGGTAACAGTTATTGACATCACGTATCTATGGTAACAGTTATTGACATCACGTATCTATGGTAACAGTTATTGACATCACGTATCTATGGTAACAGTTTATGACAACACGTATCTATGGTAACAGTTATTGACATCACATATCCAAGGCAACAGTTATTAACATCACGTATCTGGTAACAATTTATGATATCACGTAGCCACGAAAACAGTTATTGACATCACCTATCCACGGAAACTGTTGATGACATCACTTATCTCAGGTAACAGTTATTGACATCACGTATCTCAGGGAACAGTTATTGACATCACGTATCTCAGGGAACAGTTATTGACATCACGTATCTCAGGGAACAGTTATTGACATCACGTATCTCAGGGAACAGTTATTGACATCACGTATCTATGGTAACAGTTATTGACATCACGTATCTATTGTAACAGTTATTGACATCACGTATCTATGGTAACAGTTATTGACATCACGTGTCCATGGTAACACTTATGGACCTCACGTGTTCACGGTAACAATTATTGACATCACGTTTCAACGCCAACATATGCTGCATATTTGGTTGACTTCAACGGGCTGCACGTGAAAAATATTGATCATTCAGTGTCATTTATCATTCAATTTGTGGTTCATTAATTTCAAATTCCTTTAATGGCTGTCACCAATTGTTTCCTCTTATTTTCTATTCTGTCAGTCTAAGAGAGATAGCGTTGTGTTTTGCTGAGGTTCACATCGCCGTCGGCGACAAGTGACACGTCAACTTCAAAATGAAACTTCCTTACTGATCTAACAGAGCCCTCCAGGTCTTGTCGGTCTGCACAAGGGCGTCCTGTGCTAGCTAAACGTAGTTCACACGGGGCCCATGCCTGTACCTGACTTATTTGTATATATATATATATATATATGTTTGATATACATACATACTAAATGGACACGTGATCTACATATATATATATACATGTACATCACGTGTCCCTGTAGTATGTATGTATACACGTGATCTACATATATATATATATATATGTAGATCACGTGTCCCTGTAGTATGTATGTATATCACATGTCCATACAATGATTTGTGAATTGTGTAGGTGTCTATTACCATGTCGCTCCCAGTTTAGTATGGACGGTGTCTTTTCCTGGGACAGCTATGACAAACTCACGAACTGATAAAACAGAGACATAAAACGCTTCAACTGTTTCCCTCGATATGACCTGGGGCATTTCAGTCTGAGGTCATGAGGCTGTATCTCGAGCCGAGCCTAGTGTGTGAATCAGGTACCATAAAACACGTGACCGGAGGTAAAATGTACTTGTCAACATGTTAATGATAATCGGTTCATTCACACAAAATGTCAAGCTGACCACATTTCTGGAGCGTGATAGTGTCAGACATTAGATCAGCGTTAATTACCAATCAGCGCAAATTAACTATTGGCTTCTTTTGTTTTCTTTTTGTTTCCACCTATCTTATTACTTATGTTGATTTTACATACATACATATACATCCTCGCATTCATTCACCCGATGAAGGAGTAAGCATATACTCTAAAACGTTGTGTTCCTCATTATAACGATATATACAGTAAACTACCGTTATAACAAATTCAAAGGGACTACTAATTTTAGTTCGTTATAACCGTAGTTCGTTATAAGTACATATACAGCATGACAACAGCAAGTAGTCGGGACCAAAAAGTAAGTTCGTTATATCCGTCAGTTCGTTATAACCGTTGTTTACTGTATATACTTAACACCATGTTTAGTGTTCAGACACATTTCCGACAGTATTCGGACCAAATTCAGATTGTGTTTACATATTATTCAGACTGTTTCAGATTATGTAGTCAGTGTTCAGACAATAATGAGATCGTGTTTAAATGGTGTTTAACTAGGGTTCAGATAGTTTGCTCATTGCATTCAGATGATGATATCCAGTGTTCAGGAAACTGTTAGTCAGCGATCAGACAGGTACATGTCTCGTTTTATTTCTGACAGTGTTTAAAGTGAGTGAGTGAGTTAAAATTTAACGTAAGATCGGCAGTACCTTAGTCAATTAAAGAGTACTTAGTCTTATCGTTGACCAACCATTTTCAAAACATCGGAATTGCCATGTAGCACAATATGAATGGCTTCATTACAACCCTCCATACCTCGACCGAGAAATCGATTCATAATTCATTTGACATGACACTGAGTCACGTCAGCCATAAAACATTCACGGCATGCACTGGCATGCTGGTTGGTTAGAATTGACTTAACAGCCACATGGCGGTGTCAATCTAAACTCTCACATGTTCAGCTGAGATGACTATCGTTTCTTGAAACAAGATCTGAGATCGAATACATCTTAAACATGACACCACATATGCATCACTGAACACACAGTGGATATATCGAGTGTTCAAGAAATGGGTAGTATGTCGTGCATTGACGGCATAGGGAGCTCATGTTTACATTATTTGCCAAAGCAACAATCAAATCAATATTCATTTGAACAAACCCAAATATCATTATCGAGTCCTTTTCTAATGATATTGGTATGTCAATTTGACTCGACAAATGCAGCATTCGTTATCCAACACGTGGCAAGGTAGAACAGGGTGGATCAGTCAGTTTACTTGGGGGGTGGGGTGTGTGTGTGTGTGTGTGTGGGGGGGGGGGGGGGGTATTTACAATCATGTGGAGGGTCAGGCCTATACGTACTTAGAGATGCAGGTTGGGGATAAATCTCCAGAATGTCCATGTCAAAGAAAAAATAACAATTGTTACCAATGACTTTATATCTCAGTCGGTGTACGTACTATCATACACTCACGTAACACTATGATACAAATGTATCCTCGTTGTTCTTCTGGTTTACTACATTTGCTACGACTCAATCAATTCCGGGGCAAATAGATTAGACACTTGGATCAATCAGGTCAAGTGCCTGTACACAAATAAAGTATTCATTCACCAAGAAAGTATCCATATACCAAGAAAGTACCTATACACCAAGAAAGCTAGCGCCAATAAAAGAACTATACATTAGGCATTTTGTTGATCTTCTAATACTGATGACAATGAATAGTTAGGGAAGAAATATACGGGTATTTTCCATTTAAATAGAATTAAAGGCATAATGGTTAATTGATTGTTAATAACCACTTTCAGTTCTGTTTTCCCTGACGTATTATGGATTATAATGCCTGGTGCATCAACAACGGTACCGTTATGTTTTATGCAAAGAATATTGATTGTCCTCACCTTGTTCAGTAATTCCCTGTTTCCTTCGTGCATGTAGGAATCGTCAAGGACCTTGAATATCGACACACTTGTAAACGCAAAACAGAGTACCATGCCCAGGAGAAACAAGATCCGAACACCGCCTCGTCTTCTTAATAACCTGTAGCACATCTTGTTACAGTGTTCCGCTGACACAATGCCGCTGTATATCTCCGACACTGTCTCACTGTATGTCTCTGACACTGTCTCACTGTATGTCTCAGACACTGTCTCACTGTATGTCTCAGACACTGTCTCACTGTATGTCTCAGACACTGTCTCACTGTATGTCTCTGACCCTGTCACTGTATGTCTCTGACCCTGTCACTGTATGTCTCTGACACTGTCACTGTATGTCTCCGACACTGTCTCACTGTATGTCTCTGACACTGCCTCACTGTATGTCTCCGAAACTGTCTCACTGTATGTCTCTGACACTGTCACGCTGTATGTCTCTGACACTGTCACGCTGTATGTCTCCGACACTGTCTCACTGTATGTCTCTGACACTGCCTAACTGTATGTCTCCGACACTGTCTCACTGTATGTCTCTGACACTGTCACTGTATGTCTCCGACACTGTCTCACTGTATGTCTCTGACACTGTCACGCTGTATGTCTCTGACACTGTCACTGTATGTCTCCGACACTGTCTCACTGTATGTCTCAGACACTGCCTCACTGTTTGTCTCTGACACTCTCACTGTATGTCTCTGACCCTGTCACTGTATGTCTCTGACACTCTCACTGTATGTCTCTGACAATGTCACTGTGTGTCTCTGACACTGTCTCACTGTATGTCTCAGACACTGTCACGCTGTATGTCTCTGACACTGTCACTGTATGTCTCTGACACTGTCTCACTGTATGTCTCGGACACTGTCACGCTGTATGTCTCTGACACTGTCGCTGTATGTCTCTGACACTGTCTCGCTGTATGTCTCTGACACTGTCTCACTGTATGTCTCTGACACTGTCACGCTGTATGTCTCTGACCCTGTCACTGTATGTCTCTGACACTGTCACTGTGTGTCTCTGACAATGTCACTGTGTGTCTCTGACAATGTCACTGTGTGTCTCTGACACTGTCACTGTATGTCTCTGACACTGTCACGCTGTATGTCTCTGACACTCTCACTGTATGTCTCTGACACTGTCACGCTGTATGTCTCTGACACTGTCTCACTGTATGTCTCTGACACTGTCTCACTGTATGTCTCTGACACTGTCACGTTGTATGTCTCTGACACTCTCACTGTATGTCTCTGACACTGTCACGCTGTGTGTCTCTGACACTGTCTCACTGTATGTCTCAGACACTGTCACGCTGTATGTCTCTGACACTGTCTCACTGTATGTCTCTGACACTGTCACTGTATGTCTCTGACACTGTCACGCTGTATGTCTCTGACACTGTCACGCTGTATGTCTCTGACACTGTCACTGTATGTCTCTGACACTGTCACTGTATGTCTCCGACACTGTCACGCTGTATGTCTCTGACACTCTCACTGTATGTCTCTGAAACTGTCACGCTGTATGTCTCTGACACTGTCACGCTGTATGTCTCTGACACTGTCACGCTGTATGTCTCTGACACTGTCACGCTGTATGTCTCGGACACTGCCTCACTGTGTATCTCGGACACAACGCTAATGTGCGCTTACACAACCTCATGGTGCGTCTCATGGTGCGTCTCATACTGTCTCACTGCATGTCCCCAACACAACCTGAATGTGCGCCTTTGACACAACCTCACTGACTGTCTCGCACACAGTCTCACTGTATGTCCATCACACAACCTCACTGACTGTCTCGCACACAGTCTCACTGTATGTCCATCACACAACCCCAATGCCCGTCCAACGTAACCTCACTGGGTTTCGCTCACACAGCGTCCCTGTATGTCCCTGACACAACGTCTCACACAATTTCACTGTACATATCTCACAGGCGCACTGTCTCGGATCACCTGTTAGGGACGCATCAGCTCATGGACAACAAAACCTCTGACAATGCTAGACTTGATGAGCCGTGCAACAAAGCAAACTGCTACGTGGCGCGGTCAATAAATCCGTGTGGAGGACTCCATTTCAGCAGAACAAATTTACAGGTGACATACCGATAAGCGCATATCAATAGCCTACTTGTTTAGTATACGAAGACAGGTGCGTGAAGCTGTGATAGGGAAGAAAAACGAAGTGGCGCTGCAATCAGTCAGTATTGCCGCTATAGTCCATATTGTTTCTATTCTGTGCTGCTATATATGTCTCTTCTACCTTTGTTGATTTGAAATACATAAATGACAACGTAAATATCACTTACGGATTTGCCAGAAGGCATTTTTTGATCAGGGCATAGTGTTTGAGTACATGCGAATATGTGTGACTTGGATTCCTTAGTAAGTGTTGAATTAAGGTTAATTAAAGAAAATTATATAATATAGCATTAATAAATTAATATTTGCTCAAATGGATACAATGTCGAGTGTAACAACAACAACAATAATAATAATAATGATAATAATTTATTTGTCTGATGATCCTCTTGTGAAGCATGTCAAGATTTTTATTACTGGGAGAAGTCCCATTCGTGCTTTTGACACAGAGGTCCATCCATGGTACGACCCAGATTATGTAGAGGGCGTCATGGAAAATGATAAATACAACATTCTTTGGAATAGGCCCGTTTACAGCCTCAGGTGTATTCAGACCAACAAACCTGATCTTGTCCTGTTTCATATATCCAATGAAAAAATTTATATGATTGAATTTTCTGTCCCTTTTGCCACTAATGTGATTGACAAGATTCAGGAAAAACATAGCAAATATGAAGAGATAGCTTTCGAAGTATCACGCTTCCATAACCTAGTACCAAGTTGTCCCCATAGTTCTCAATGCCTTAGGTTGGGTGCATCCCAATCTGTTGACTGACTTTGGGTGAGGACTCGGATTTGCTACCAGGAATACAGTCTTTCTGACAATCTGGGTAATGCAGAAGGCTGCAATGTGGGGAGTCTTCACATTCTCCGAAAAGTTCTGGGTGAGTTTGACTTGTCAGCGCTTCCTGGGAGAAGACCCATTCGCTGTCTGGGCTGCGTGTAGAGGGGGCAAGGGCCCTGAGCTGATGATGAGCCTAACCAGCCTGACTGTACCAGTATCACCCAAAGCCTCATTGCTGCATTTTCTATTTTAATCTGATCATAATAATAATATAGTTTTCTTAAACAAGCCAAGGATGTGGGACATAATATCAATGTCAAGTTGATTTTGTTGATGGTTCTGTAATGCTCGATGGTACAGAAGTGAGTGTCAATCAAACGGAGTCCTATATCAAATCGGCCCAGACCCAGTTTTTCAAGGAGAGGCTATCTGAACGACCACTGCATCTAGTTTATATGCAGTGTGTTGAGAAGATCAGCATTCCCACAGAGTCTTTCGCTTTGATGAAGTCTGCTAGCCTGAAAAGTGAAACAGAAGACTTTCTGTTTGCTGCTCAGAACCAATCACTTCCCACTCAAAACCGTCAATGTGTGATTTTGCATCAAAATGTAAAGATGAAATGTCGATTATCCAATTTATTGAGACTGTCCAACACATTGTCAGTGGATGCTCAGCTTTGGCACAAACACAGCATCTTAAGCGACATGGTGGAGTTGCTCGATCCTTTTATTGCCGTCTTCGCCATGCTTGTGGTTTTGACACAGAGGTCCATCAATAGTACGACCCAGAACATGTGCATCATGGAAAAACTCGTGTGGTTGGTTATTATCTGTTTCCAGTTCAGACAACATGTTAACCTGTGGTGCAGTAGTGTAACGGTACAGTGCTTTCATTGCAGGTACTTTTTTGCATCGTTTTTCTTTTCACTTTTTTTGACATGTGTACGAATATCTATTATACGCATAGAACGGCACTGATTTATAATTCGACATTATGTGAATATATTGAATGTTCATCAGGTTGAAGTACCATGTGTAGAGTAGGACAGGTCATGTTCCGCACACACAGCTGTTGCAGCAGTATTGACTTTGAGCTAACTACCAACCTTTTCCCTCAAACATACTTTACAACAGATTTATAAATGCAAGTTTTTTTTATACTCCGTGGTTCAATAAAATGAAATTTAGTTACCAAGGATACGCAGCTGTATTGTGACTTGCCATGACGTTAACGAGAACCCCTGCAGCGTTACTGATATGCAAGCACATAGCTAAGGTTTATGGCTAGCCTGTATACCTTCGGGCGCGCAGTCTATTCTTTAAATATACACAATATGACTATTTGAAACATAAACAAGCTGTTGCCCCATGGGACGTGGAATACAATCCCAAATGCCCACAAAGTTACCCATTTAATTAAATTTCGTTCAATACAAAGGAGACGACGGGGAATATGTTTAATAGGCCCGTGCTATATATTGAACAACTGTTATTACCGGCCCGTGGTGCATTGAACAACCTTTATTACAGACCCGTGATATATTAAAGAACCGTTATTCCAGACCCGTGGTATATAAAAGAACCAGTAATTTCAAAGGCCCGTGGCATATTAAAGAACCGTTATTCCAGGGCCGTGGTATATAAAAGAACCAATATTTTCACAGGCCCGTGGCATATTAAAGAACTGCTATTACAGGCCCGTGGTATATAAAAGAACCAGTATTTTCAAAGGCCCGTGGCATATTAAAGAACCGCTATTACAGGCCCGTGGTATATAAAAGAACCAGTATTTTCAAAGGCCCGTGGCATATTAAAGAACCGCTATTCCAGGCCCGTGGTATATAAAAGAACCAGTATTTTCAAAGGCCCGTGGCATATTAAAGAACCGCTATTCCAGGCCCGTGGTATATAAAAGAACCAGTATTTTCACAGACCCGTGGCATATTAAAGAACTGCTATTACAGGCCCGTGGTATATAAAAGAACCAGTATTTTCAAAGGCCCGTGGCATATTAAAGAACCGCTATTACAGGCCCGTGGTATATAACAGAACCAGTATTTTTAAAGGCCCGTGGCATATTAAAGAACCGCTATTACAGGCCCGTGGTATATAAAAGAACCGCTATTACAGGCCCGTGGTATATAAAAGAACCAATATTTTCACAGACCTGTGGCATATTAAAGAACTGCTATTACAGGCCCGTGGTATATAAAAGAACCAGTATTTTCAAAGGCCCGTGGCATATTAAAGAACCGCTATTACAGGCCCGTGGTATATAAAAGAACCAGTATTTTCAAAGGCCCGTGGCATATTGAAGAACCGCTATTACAGGCCCGTGGTATATAAAAGAACCAGTATTTTCAAAGGCTCGTTGTATGGTAAAGAACTGCTATTACAGGCCCGTGGTATGTTAAAGAACCACTTTTACAAGCCCCTGTTATAGAAGAACCAATCAAGTTTATTTCGTAATTTAGGCCACATGGCCCATAGTACAGTTGTAAGATAAATAACATTTTAGGTCACATGTCCAGAGTGTGACACCCCTGCAATTACATAACATACGATGCCCAACTGACTTTTCCATTCTCATCTAATACTTTGAGCATAACATTACTTTGGAAGGGTTTCGACTTGCATTCATTCGCAAAAGCTTACCCAGTACTTAATTACCCTTATTTGAGTATTTATAAACATACAATGACGTCCAGTTTCACCCAGAATAGCTTTGTTTGATGCAAATTTACCCACACCAAGAAAACGTTTAAAATAGCATGTTTGTATCTTTTCAATTGTATCATAATATTTAATACCCCATATTTCCGAACCATACATCAATATTGGAGCGATTTTATTGTCAAATATTTTACAAGCAGTCGAGAAATCTGTAAGTCTGTTATTACTAAACAAATGAAAAACTGGCCCTATTGCCTTCCGTGCTTGTAAGGCAAGGGCTTCACATGCTTTAGACCATATTAACCGCGAGGAGAAGATTATTCCAAGATATGTATAGTACGTAACCGTCTTTATCTTTATCCAGTGTCCATGCTTCGTACATGGTTATTATCCCTCCATTTCTACATACAATAACATTTGATTTATCAAGATTTACACACAATCCCCATTTCAAACAATATGTATTTAAAACATCTAGCTGTCTCTGCAAGCCCCGAACAGTATACGAGAAAAGTACAATGTCATCGGCAAATAAGAGTAACATCAGATCTTTAATATTTTGGGTAACAAATATACCATGATCGCAAGCAGCATACATTTCCAACACAAGCTCATTGATAAAGAATATAAATAAGACGGGGCTCAAAACGCAGCCTTGTCTTACCCCACTAGCGGTGTTAAAAAAAGAAGTTTTAAAGCAACTAATCTTTACACATGCTTTTACAGATGCATACATACTTTTTAACAAATTGTGCATTTTACCATGGCATCCTTTTAGAAGGAGTAATTATAGCATTTTTTCCTGTCAACATAATCAAACGCCTTTCTAAAATCAATGAATGCACAATAAAATCTGCCTTTTGTCTTACAGAGATATTTGGAACATAATGCATGCAGCGTAAAGATATCATCAATGGTAGAATATTGAGAACGGAAACCTGCTTGGGATTCTGAAATAAGCTCATTTATCTCTATCCAGGTTCTAAGGCGTTTTTCTAGAATAGACGTAAAAACCTCCCTAAGATGTTCAAAACAGAAATGCCCCTGTAGTTGTTAGGATCTGTTTTAACTCAACTTTTGTATAATGGTATGATCATACCTAGATTCCATACCTCAGGAAACACTCCGCTATCAAGAACTTTGTTAAATAACAAGACTAGAAGTGATAGAAAATAATAATTAGAAAGTTTTAAGAATTTAGGCGGTATACCATCCTCTCCTGGTGCTTTTCCCAACTTTAAGTCTGCAATAGTAGTCCTGGATTTCTTTCTCAGTCATACGGCTAGATAACAATTCTTCAGTAAATGGCAATGCGTTACAATCGTGACATGAATGGCTTTCAATAAAATCTGGAACGGATTGATCAAACAGCAAATGATCAGTTCGTTGATCCGGTTTAACAAATTCTTAAAATAGGAATACCACACTTCTGGGGTAATAGATGACTTGCCTTTATCACTATAGAGAAGGCG